TAGATGTTCACTATATTACATAAGGAAATTAACTGAAGCATTAAGATGTTGACAGATGGCCCAAATATTGTAGCCTGTTTTTTACTATTTTGATAGCTTGAATAGCGCTTTAACGCCGACCCCCTAATATGATGAATCCAAATTATGCTACAGCAAGTGATCATGATAACTTATCTCCGAAAAAAATTGACCCAACGTTGCTAGTTACAAATAAGTGACAACCGACTTACTGCTTTCATTTTGATTGTGACTGCTGACTAGTTAACGTTATGAATGATACGAGCTCTAAAAATGGAACTAACGCAGTCGCTAGAACTTCTAGAAATCGCAATCATCTAGCATCTAATCAAGGCTTCAGAACCATTAGGACTATATTTGAGTGTTTTTAAAATCCACATCAAAATGCGTTTGTCCTTTCGAATATTATAACATTCAATTATATATCTCAACCAAGGTGTAGCATGTGAATGTTGACTTGAAAACCAAACAATAACCTTTATTTACGACTTACAGTAACATTAGTGAAACTGTCCTACTTGAACAACTAGATGTTCAGTTCATTGAGTCATAAAAAACGAACATATGGAACTAACTCTACTGATTACACACCTACTACCTACTTGTACTCTAGTGGGATTCAAGTAAATAAAATATCATAATTGTGATAGTTTCATACATAAAAATACTCAGATAATTTGCAATATAACAGTTACATTGACACAGGGAGCCGCAAAAGCCCTGGTAAGATAGTTATAACCGAATTAAAGGCAAAAGTAGAGTTGGGACCAAGAGACCTACACCATGTGTAACACCAGATAATTTAGTTTTTTTTTAAATTTTATTTAAACACATATCTGTATAAAAGGGCAACAAATATACATGCGCCACACAAATCTCATTCATTTGAGTGAAGGCCGTGATACTGCCCGAGTGTTCGAACCGAAACAGGTGGTTTGCATAGGGAGCCACACACAGAGCCTTTCACCTAAGGATCTGATCCACATGGAAATGGAACATTGTAAGGATATGCAGTCCCATGGTAGCCTGTCACCAACGATTCATTCATACGCCATTTGTTCCCTCAGGATACTGGAGTCAGCCCATGTGCACCATTGGTTTGGAATCGGGGATTTCCAACTCCCCTAGGTGGACTCGCCGTGTCCACCAACCCGGTTAAAGCGCCAGACCTTTGCTTTTCGTCCTCTCAATTTCGTAAACAACACCCGTGGTGCGAGAAGGCAGTGAGTAGGGCTTCCATGGTAGATGCTATATATGCGTGACCATGTGAGAGTATTTAGAGAGAGAGGGTGGGCGTTCTCCACTCTTGGCCGTACCAGGGCATTAAAAACCTATGGTTTTTCGCAGCACGGTCACGATGTGAACACTGAAGGAAGACTGATGAATGTCGCCGAACTAGTTTTAATGGTGGGACCACTGGTTGATTAGTATCCAGTCGAACCTTAAGGTCCTATCATACCTGGCAAGTTAGTTAGGAAGCTTTTGATGGAATTATGTTCTCTGAACTGGATGGTTTGGTCGTGGAGCTTTCATTCATCCCATCAGGCTCTGAATACGACGAAGAGCGTAAACAAATTAAATCTAAATTGACTAAAAGTCTAAGGAACGATCGTGAACAGTGGTGGACAACGAAAGCAAAAGAGATGGAAAAAACAGCGGCTGTAGGCAACACCAGCCCCCAAATGCCCTGGTACGGCCGAGAGTGGGGAGAGCCCACTCTCCCTCTCGAAATGCTCTCACATGGCCAGCGAATATATAGCCTCTGCCAGGGAAGTCCTACTCACTGCCTTCTCGTGGCGGGGGGTGTTGTTTACGAAAGTGAGAGGACGAAAAGCGAATGTCCGACGCTTTAACCGGGTCGGTGGACACGGAGGGTCCACCTAGGTGAGTTGGAAAACCCTGATTACAAACCAATGGTGCACATGGGCTCCAGTATCCTGATGGAAGGAATGGAGAATGAACCTTCTGCTGGTCAACGGCTACCATGGGACTGTATCTCCTTACGATGCTCCACTGCCTTGTGGATCAGACCTTTAGGTCAAAGGCTCGGGGTGTGGCCCCCTAAGAAAACCACCTGCTGCGGTTTGGGCACCCGGGCAGTATCACAGCCCACACACAAATGACATGAAATGACGCACTACACTAACTACACTGCTCTCGTTCCTAGTAGAAGGAAGACAATTTATATTATTATTATTATTACCATTATTATTATTGTTATTACTATTATTTACTACGTCGCTTTTTCACTCCCTTTATTCCCAAATTGTGTACCTTTCCTTTCCAACTTATGCAGTATCTCGCCCATGGTGGAAACTCTTACGAACACCTCAGGCAGAGTGAGGGCATACAACCACCTTTCTTCCTTGTTTCATTCGAGCAGTGGGGTTAGGCAGGGTTGCCCGATCTCACCATTCCTCTTCAACTTTGCCATCGATGACATCCTGGAAACAGCTCTGATGGATGTAAGTAATGGCGGTGTGGATATGTTGCCTGGAGAACGACTTCTCGACCTCGAGTATGCGATAATGCCCATGGCATGCAATCCGCACTTAATCAGTTGGCAATCAGTGTCCGCAGGTACGGCATGTGATTTGCACCCTCCAAGTGCAAAGTACTCCTACAAGACTGACAGGATTCTCATCCTGTACTCACCCTGGATGGTGAGCAGATTGAAGTAGTTGAGAAGTTCGTGTATCCAGGTAGCTATATAAGTGCTGGTGGTGGCGTGAGTGATGAGATTGATGCACGTATAATGAAAGCCAGAGCGGCTTATGCCAATCTGGGCCATCTTTGGCGCCTTCGTGATGTTAGTCTGGCTGTAAAAGGTCGGATCTACAACGCGTCGGTGAGAGCAGTTTTGTTCTATGCTTGTGAAACCCGGCCTCTCCGAGTTGAGGATGTTAGACGTCTCTCTGTGTTCGATCATCATTGTCTCCGAAGGATTGCTGACATACAGTGGCAACACCATGTTAGTAATGCAGAGGTTCGACATCGTGTGTTCGGGCGCCGAGACAATAATTCAATTGGTGTCACCATCTTGAAACACCGACTTCGGTGGCTTGGACATGTTTTACGAATGTCGTCCCAGAGACTTCCACGCCGTGCATTATTTGCCGACTCTGGGACTGGTTGGAAAAAGCGGAGGAGGTCAGTGTATGACATGGTGTCGTAGCATGAAAGAAAGCTGCAAAGGGCTAGCTTCTATTGATCCTTCACGACTCCCTGGCTGGGGTCCGAGAGATGGTGCAACACAGTGGCTAGAGACGTTATCGGATATGGCTCAGAATAGAAGCCAGTGGCGATCCTGCTGCAACCTTCTTTTACTTTCTACATAAAGAGTGGTTCTAACTTTCTTAACTGAAAGTGTCTTCTGGTTGTACATTTCAGTCCGCCTTATCTTTTCATCCCTTCTCTTCCTACTTTCATTATTTTGTGTGGCGCATATGTATCTAGTGCCCTTTTGTACCAATATATATGTGTTTAAATAAATAAATAAACAAAAGAAACCGGAATTAAGAAGTCGAGTGTAAGTGAAACGATCTCGGAAAAAGTCGGAACCCTTAACTGCTCTCAGCCCAGACGTTTAGAACGATGGGTAGAACACTTTAAGGAGCAGTTCAGCTGGCCTTCAGCTACTGTACAACTACCCGCTATTCCCAGACAGTCTGAATGGAACATTGAAGTAGGTCTCCCGACCCTACCTGAAGTTCAAAAGGCTATAACTAACCTGAAACGAGGAAGAGCAGCTGGTCCTGATGGATTGGCTTCAGAGGTCTTTAAATATGGTGGCTCAAATTTAGTGACTAGGTTGACTAATATACTGGCTAAAATCTAAGAGTTGGACGTAATCCCATCCGACTGGTCACAATCTCTGATTGTCCCAATATATAAAAAGGGGTCAAAATCATCCTGCGATAACCATAGAGGGATTAGTCTGACTAACATAGCATCTAAAATACTTGCCTTAATAATTATCAGGCGCCTAAATAAGACTCGTGAACTGCAAACACGAGAAAATCAGGCTGCCTTCAGACCTGGTCGTGGCTGCATCGACCACATATTCATCAGTCGTCAAGTTATAGAGCACAGACATGTTTATCGGCGTCCGACAATGATAGTTTTTCTTGACTTGAAAGCAGTATTTGACTCTGTAGACCGAGAGGTTCTGTGGCAGTGTCTGTCATTGAAAGGTGCACCTCAGAAGTACATAAACCTTGTGAAGACTCTTTACTCGAACACTACCAGTCGAGTGAGAACTTATGGCGAACTGTCATATGATTTTACAACCTCAAGTGGTGTCCGACAAGGTTGTCCACTATTCCCATTTTTGTTTAACTTCATTATAAACCTATCAATTAAGGGACGAGTATACTACACAGCAGTTCGTTCTGTTCTACTTTACGGCTGCGAAACATGGCCGTTAAGAGTAGAAGATACTCGTACGTTAATAGTATTTGACCACAGATGCCTTAGAAATATTGCTCGCATCTGCTGGGATCACCGGGTAAGTAATAGTGAGGTCAGACACAGGATATTAGGAAATGATGGTAAATCAGTTGATGAGGTCATGAATCTTCATCGACTGAGATGGTTGGGCCATGTGTTACGTATGCCTGAACATCGATTACCACGACGCGCAATGTTGACTAGTATTAAGGATGGTTGGAAAAGAGTTAGGGGCGGCCAAACCAAAACATGGCATCAGTGCTTAAAGTCACTAACTTCTAGTCTGAGCCATGTTGGTAGATGCAGACTACCTGGTTGGAGTCCGCGTGACTACCGTAACCAATGGTTAGAGATTCCGGGTGACATGGCTCAGGATCGATCACAATGGCGTAGGTGTATACACTATTTATCTTCCCTTAAACCTTGAGATTAAAATTGCTTCACAACTCTTTTCTTCCTATACTATATCATTATATACAACCTATCTTTTATATATTACCACCACTAAATTAACTATTTCTATGAATCCGGTGTTCATCTTGTTGTGCTAACGAGGTATGGTAACTTCGATCGATGCATATATGTACCTGGTTCTACGTTGTAGCTGACTGACTGGAGCTTTCATTGTTATCCTAAATGACATCATCAGCACAAACTTAAGGCAGAAGGGAAGTGTTCGGACTCCTCCATATTTGGCTCACAGCTTGTCCTGTAAACCTCGATCTTGATCTACCTGAAGTTTGTGTTGATGTCGTTCAGAATAACGACGAAAGCTCCATGATCAAATCATTCATCTGAGCTACAAATCTTGTCCGCTATTTCAGGTTTCAAAACTGAAACTAACAAATTTAAAGCTTATAGACGAAGTCATAATAGAAATGGTTAACCAACATTTTTAATGATGTTTGAGGACGAGAATGTCGGTAGTGAAAATAAACCAACTCTGAACCAGGGATAATCTAAATATGGAAAACTAATACGACGTGGATTTAGTTTATTAATAACATCCCGCATGAAGTACTCTCACATCATATAAGGCTGTCGGTGTGTCAACCACACAAATTTCACAAATATCATTTGGATTTATCAAGTTAACTGTTAACCCCTTTCTTATTTCCTAATACCTCATCGTGAATACAAGATATACGGTTGTAAAGAATAATACGGATATTTGGAGAAATATATGAACTTATCTTTGAGACTTCAGCCAGTATGGTAGACATATATTGTATCGCAACACTCTCAGTTTGGTGTAGAGCACTTCTATATTCACTAAATACTTGTCCCTCTGAGTGAGGGGTAATGATACTATTCGATTGATCAAACCGAGGTAGGGAGAATGAGCATTGAATAATAAGTTTTGAGAAAATGACTAGTACCTGGGCTAGCGTCAAGCGACTGAGGCTTTTTGGACCATAATGCTGTACTCAGATTTATCAACGATATTACAGGCAAGATCGTTATGCAAGTTAATAAATGCCACAAAATGAAGACCAAATGTTTAGAATAGTGATAGATAAACCAAATAAAGGCTTGTGAGCTTGGCTTTGAGCCACATTTTGTGTGGTTAAAATTAGCAGCCGCATGATAGGTGGGAAGCTCGAACCTGAGGTTTGTTGGTTGAAAGTCGAATACTCTAACTATTAAAATCATACATCTGACTTGAACCAATCTTGAAGAACAATGACATAATGCTTATTAAATGTTAAATGCAACTGATTAACTATTGTGATTTTGAATACAAAAAGTCGCGACATTAAGTAATTTATACGACGACTGGAAAATTATGAATTCCCAATGGTATAATGGTCAAAGTGAAAATAGACGAAGACACTTAAGTGGTTACACCTTGAGAACCATTTGCAAAGAAAACAATTTTTATTATTCAAATGCATGCGTGTACAAGTACAGTTACAGTGAGTGCGTGGTTTGTTCACTTTAGTAAAAAGTTTTACTTAGCTGAAGCATAGAAATTAGGTACATCTGAATTATTTCTTGAAATCACTATTATTGCTAAGAAAAATGAAGCCACAATGATACTCAAACGTGTAATAAACCAAAATAATTGGCTGCAATTGATACTCAAATTTTTCAAACAAAACTAGAAAGGACAATTAGTTGGATCAAACATATATACAACATTAGGGAATGTGAAAGAAATGAATAAGGTACATAATTGGTCTGTACAAATAAGTATAATACATGGGGACAAAGTTGATATGGAACACGAAATCACTGTACACCCGTAATGCGTTAGAACTATGCACATTAGTTGACAATATACATAAAAATACCACTATATCTTAAACGTAACTGAGAGAAATTAAAAACATAACAAATAAGTAAAAGCTGTACATAACATACATTAGGAATGAAATATAGAATACTAAGTGGCATGAAATGTACAAATCCAAGTGAAGTATGTAAAGGCACTATAAACTATACTGGATGGTTATTGAGAAGCACTAGACTGGGTTGAATAATAATCTAGGGAGTCGGAGTATACCTATCTACAATAGTTGTCTCACAAAAAGTATTGAAAACAAAGATTTACAAAGCTACTAGTTCATCCATTTCCGACAATTTGGAGCTCTGCAAAGGCAAGGAATTTTGTCGCTTCTATCTTCTAAGTCAAAATTGTAGTCATAACATAACTCTTCACCCTTTTTTATACGTCTGTTAGTAATTATCACAATATGTGAATGACCACCGAAGTTGACGAACTCAGCGAGGCAGTTTGGTTGGCAGGAATGGTTAATATATCGAGCGAGTCCCCCACAAACAGTCGCATCAATTACTGTATCATCATCAAGACGAAACATGTATATGCCTCTGTTATGAGCTTCATAGTTTTTTTCTCTTTTATTGGCTATTTCTAAGCGGATTAACTCACCTACGTATTCAATTACCATAGTTTGTTGTTCCAAATCCCGTGCAGCGAATAAACCTAATCCCTGAATACGCGATCGACCGAGAATAACGTTGGAATTAACTTCTGTCTTTAATTTTCGGTACTGTTGAGAACGACTGCTTTGATGCTGTTTTGATGCCGTATCTATATTATACACTCCGTTGCTACAAGTTGTTCCATTGAAACTTGGATGAGATAAACGTCGAACACCCGGTAGACTTGTTCGGTGATTAAATGAAATGGAATATTCGCCAGCATCATGCATACGTTTCACATAAGTTTGCATTTTCGGCTCTGATCGTGCACATCCAGATGGGTTTATGGCTAACGGCATTTCAGATATTAATTCAAGACGTCCGAAATTGAAAACATAATCCCTCAAACTCTCTACACCTGGTAGAGATTCTACGGCTCGAACTATATGAGATTCGTTTAAACCAAACAAATCTTCCCCTCTAAGAAGTTGTGGGAAAAGTTTTACTAATTTATGTTCTTTACAAAGAACCTCAATTCGTGACAGAATTATCTGCCAAGCCCCGTCGCAAGTCTCGTGCGTAACAGACACATTTTCCATATCCCTATCGATTGCTGTTATGCGGAAAAAGGGATGAGAGTCCTTTTCCAATATTTCGCAGACATATTTTGCTCGAGAACGCGGTCGGCGCATTGACCAGTAAATCCGAGTGGAACACATCCCAGTGGGATATATATTCCGACGATTATGAAAGTTCCCACTGTCAATCTGGTGAGGTAATAACTGCCCAATCGAATGTAAAGATACTCCTCCAATGCGAACAACATATTTATTACTATCTTCATGCACCACACGAGCTACTTGACTATTTTCATCACGGCTAATGTATACACGTCGACTGACCGCTAAAGAGGATAACTGCATTGGATGGATTTCTTTAGGTTGGTGTTGGGGACAATACATACCACGATCCGTGAAGAACATGCATCGTATTTTGATTGCACATGGTACATGATAAACATAGGAACATTTTGGATTATAACAAGGCAAACCAGCACCAAGTAAACCACATTGTGTACAAGCTGTCTCTTTTGCTTTAGCTAACCAGACATCTAAATTGTTTAGGGATCCTCCGATAGTTTCATACACCTCATAGCACCATAAAGCACAGTTAATGTGTATCCAATTATCTAAGTCTAGAGGGAGTAAACGACCAGCACCGTCTTCAGGAGCATCTCCAGCTTGATGACACAAATCGCACAATCGTTTATCTTCGGAATATGGAGCACGCATAACTGCAGGATTACTTATAAAAGGACTGAGAGCATCATCGACTATGTTACGTCTGTATGACGTGTCCGATGGATGATGGGTATCGGACACATATTGTCTCCATCGTATACCTTGCCATTTCCTAAATTTGGAGGGAACTGTAGAAGTATTTGCTGGACGTTTTTTATTTGTAACGCAGTGTTGAGGATGCTGGCGTTTGAGGTTAGGTTTTGATTTCGATAAGTTGTTTTGTAATAATATGGGCATAGAGCACGGAAAGTCAGTCATTATAAGCTGTCGCTGTTGTTCAAAGTTATAACAATTCCTGATGTTTAATATATCTGTTTGTGAGGAATAATCCAGTGACGTTTCCGAGTACTTATTTCGATAACAAGACAAAAGGCGGGCGAAACCATACAAGCAGTCACTAGAACAAAACAGAAGATCGACTGCATTATCAAAATTAATGGATACTCCACTGACTGAACATAATTCATCCAACCACTTGCGCTGCATCATATGAGGAGAGACTGGCTTACCACACATTTTGCACGATTTTGCAGAGCGGTTCCTACTGGCGAGTATAGAAGTAATGCTGACGGGTTCCTCAGAGTAACGACATGTTTCCTGTGAATAAACTGGACTGAAATCAGTTTTATTAACAGTATCACACTCTAATTTGCATGAACTTAACTGGGGCAGATTAGATGGAAGAAGTTTCGTATGAGGCGTATTTTCTAGTGTGTTAGATTGTATATGACTGGAACTGTGGATTCCCTGTGCTAAACAATCTCTTGAATCCTTTTCAAATTGTAAGGACAGTGGTGTAAACTGCTGTCTTAAATGAGTTTCTAGGTTACGCATCACAACTTCACTTTGGGATTGCTTCTGATCTAAAGTTATTTGTGCACCTGATCTGGTGATTTGACAGTCAATGGAATTTTCTTCTACACCCAATATTTCAGAGATTCGGTGGATGATTTTCGATATGTTTACAGTTGCTGAAGGATTTACGGTGAACGTGATATGTAACTTGTCATCCTCATTTAAAGTAGGACCTAGAGACGCCTTTGTTGATTTTAACTGGGGTGAAACCATGATTTCACCAGTTTCTGAATCGACGAATGGAGTGCATGGATTCAGATCGACGGACATTGAAGACTCACTCATTACACTTTTATGTGTGTCTAGACCTGGCATATCCTGTTCAGCCTTTAGAGTAGATATGTTTGAACCGTTAACCTTAGTTAGTCCTGAATCCATACCTGTTCCAGAACAAGGAGCTAAATGAATGGGTTGACAAAGCAGGCGAGGATTAGGCATATGATACAGAGCGAGCGGAGGAGTACATCTATCCATTTCAGTCCTTTCTAAAGAATTTGATGGGTTTTGAGAAAACATTTGAAGCAGTGACTGAGGTATGAGTGTCTCACCCGACAATTTGCACGAGTCATACCCAACTTTGATTTCATCATAAACATCTTTTGAATAGTTCTTGGTAAATTGATTCATTCTCGAGAATAGAGTTTTCATGTTATTCTCAAATGATGGAGGTTCCGGAGAGGCGCACACTGAATGACACTCAACAGATTGTCGCCTGAAGCATTTAGATGGATAAATGACGGGACCAGGTGGTACCACTACTTTAAGATGCTGTGTAAGATATGAATCGACAACTTTGTGTGAAGTAGTCCGATCTATACACTTGGGGAATTTAAGAGACATACGTCCACGAGAGTATTTTAAACCATGTTTGTGGTAAAATGCTTCATCAGCACCTCTAGGAAACGGCGAATCACATGAACCAGTGGGTGGAAGGACTGAAAAAAAAGGTTGCAGAGTGGGAGCTGAGACTAATGATTTTAGATCAACACCTTTTAATTTATCAATCTGTTCCTGAGCGCCCGAATGTAAAGAACGAATAGAAGCTTCGTGAACGGTGATATTTTTGTTTGAGACTGGAACGACAGGATATGATGGACTGCCGACAGTTTTTCGACGTTTACTATTCCCTGATGTTGAGGCATGCGACCGCTTCCTAGGTGTACTTGTGATGCTTTGGGAACAAGTAGTGATGTGGCTGTTAGTTACTGGAAGACCGTGGCTGGATACACCTACGGAAGATGTGGGGAGCATGGGGGAAGTTGTATTGACAGGAATAATGGGATGGCGAAAGGCTACCGAAGAATTTGTTTGTGAGCAATTTTGATCATTAATAACAGTAGGAACAGATAGTGAGTACTTAACGTCACCTGAAGCTTCTAAAGACACAGGTGTTCCAACAGTACCACAAAGCAAGGATTGAGGAGACTGCACAACACAAATATTTGGAGGATTAATGGAAACTGCTTGAGTAGAAATTGGTGGATTTGTACTTTCTATGATGTGATTAGATACAGGATAGGATGTTATGTTGGTATCTGAAGATTTGGCAACTTGATTAACAACGTTTTGTAAGACGCTAGTTCTTACAGGAGATAAAATTGGAGTACTTATTCTTTGAACTGAAGCAGTAGGTAATGTGGAATGTGGTATTGTAAACTGAGCTTGTTGCCCTGGATGATTCTGAAAGCTATGTAGCATGCTGGGATGAAACAAGACGTGTGTATTTGTTGTTAGAGGCTGACTGATTTGTGAAACGATATGGTGCTGAGAAACCTGAAATACGGGGTTAGAGGAAGAGTCTGAGCATAACTGGACGAAAGAAACACCCTGGTTACCATAATGGGCAGAGACACACTGAGATGGATTTGATGACAACTGAATAATCCCATGGGTTTGATCTACTATATATCGTTGCATAGGTTGTGGGGACACCATGCTGCATGAGGAGTTGGATTGAAACACAGCTTGAGTTCTACAGGTTTGAAGCACGGGAGAATTTAAATTGTTGGAGTGAGGAGACGGAGCTGGAGAAATTGTCGGAGAATTTATAAGTTCAGAACTAGGAGTATTAACTCTAGGATTTGGTGAGGACGTAACAGTAGACTCTCGTGCTCTACAGGTAAGTACAAACATCCCTTCACAAGGCTCGTCACTCCGTGCGACTGACAACACATAGTCAATTGTTTCATCCAACTTATCCAAGTCCATCTTAGCACGCTCCTGATCGTGCGTCGGGGAGACATCAGTAGGTCTGCAACCATTAACATCCCTACCTGTTTCAGGTTTATCGACCTGACACGACTCATCACTGTTACTTTCTGGTCTAGACAAAGATCCGTTACATGGAGAAGGGATACATACAGCATCTGGTATTAAATTGCTTGCAGGTGAAGGTGAGTTATTTACTACTTTCGTTGCAGAACAAGGAAAAGCCTTATCATTGAGATCAGGTTTGAGAAGTACAGTTGTGTCACCTACTTCAGGAGCTGCTGGTTTCTCGTTGTTATTCAGTACTTTTGAGTGGTCAAACTCAGATCTATCAACAAATCCAGATAATATGTCCGATGGGACCAAACGATTGCACATAGCTGACACCATAGGGATTTGGGGGGATTCACATTCCCTAAGATCGTTATTAAATGGACAGTGGAACGCGTCAACTAAGCGAAGAACCTGGCCTTCGGGTGAACTATGAGATAAACTTTTTTCACCATATTCATTACTAGGACTATATCGCAAAGTTTTGTACAGAGAAGGATGAGCTGTTGCCGAAGAACTCAAATAACTTAATGTCTCCTCGGACGTCTTATTCATTCCACTGAACTCCATACCACATGACGCGCATTAAAATGTTGCCTCCTGAGCTGAAAAAAACCAGTTTGAACAGAATAACTAATCATAGTCATAACTAACTCGCAAGTGCATGCGACTGTTAAGGATTGCTATTGAAACTGTTGTGTTAATAATCACGTACTTAGTGGCTAATTTCAATTAAACACTATGACACAAAACATGGTGAAACTACTTACCGTCATGAGAAATAATTCCAAACTCTAAAGCATTAGGACGAACCATACGCGTTCAAAGAAGGAAATCATATCACGACGTTACTTTAAACAAAGCGCATACATCTCAGATTTTTGCAAAAATCACTTATCAGAAAGTCAGATACAGTGGGGGATGATTCAAGTTCTCTAAACTCCAGGTACACTCAGTGCTTCAGTGGATGTATTAGTGGTGAAAATAACAGTTGGTCTCGGGTAGCTGTAGCTATATCGGGAACAACTTATATTTATCATTATTAAGGGTTTAAAGCGTATTGATATTTTGATCTTGGTAACAGATTATGAGTGACTAAAAATTATTGGTATGGTATTCCTAATGGAGATCCCATTTTACTGGGGTGTAGCGCAATAAAGCCTTAATCAGATTTCTCTGTTTATCGCGAAATGTTTGAAGCCAGCTGATTGTCTTTACACCTAAATACTATAGGAAATTACTGTTTTCACACGTAAGGACATATAATTTTTATGGGATGACCGATTTCTTTCTAAGAAAACCTAAAGGACCAGGATATTCCTAATTACAATTTGTTGTATCATACTTAACCGGATAAGCAATATGAATGCTGCAAAACTCACACCTTTGGTTAAGCACAATGATTATTTCGGAATGATTTACCAGCTATCACATAAAGTTTTTGGGTTTTAGCGGCGAATGAATCTCTAAAATCAATAGCTCTGTAAGTCTTCGACATTTGATGCTAACCGTATTAGTTTTAATGGCCTCACCTTGCTGAAAGTGCTCAGGCATGCATTCGCATCAGATCACGAGTCAGTAAATCGTGCCTTACTTCACCTACAACCAATATCCAGCTTAGACTGACCACTTTTCTATACATCGATATTCTATCAAATATGTTTTCGAACCTCTCCACTTCTGACTTCTGCTTTCACTGGGTTGGCACGTTTCGATTATAGGTGTTACTGGTTAAGGTGTTGTCAAACTTCGTATACACGTAGCATCTTAAGTGGTGAGCTCGCTCTGATCTGGTGCACATATTCGTAGGCAGTGAGTCTGTTTGGTTTTAGAACCTTATGTATCAACTTTTTTAAGCCAACGCGATGCCTAGATAAAAAGATGAGGCCAAACTTAGATTATAAACATGAGTCAAAGAAAGAGCTACTATATTTAAATTGCACACATATAATCCGTCGGTAGTCCCTCCCCCAGAACATAACCTGTAGGCTGGACTCACATTGTTTTTAAGAGGTAGAAATTTCGAAGCTATTTTTCCAACCATCAAGTTTTCTATTCAGTACTTCTGTTAATGAAGAAGCCATGAATCTGCTCGCGTACCTATTCTTTGGGTTACCCAGTATATACGGTATGTCAGTGTGATTTATTTGTGTACGCTCATGTGTGAATATGGAGAAAACACATCCATCCATGGTTTTTCCTATGACTAGCCTTTTCGATTCGCAGAGTATGTACTTTTTCTCTTCCTGTCGTCGGGATCTTGTACATCGACTTCCATTCTTGAGTTTGACTGCAGTTATTATTACTATATTATCTACAAATTTTGAATCCCCCCATTTTCTTACTATGGTTGAGTCCTTTAATAACCGTTTCACCTTTGTTCTACTTAATGTTATTTTTGTGGAGTTATATATATTGAACTGCCAAACATCGATTGGTACTTTTTGAAATGTGTCGTGGGGTTTATTTTGAAGCACGTTCCTTGTTTGATTTTGTGAATGTTTCCCATTACTGTATATTTATATAAGAATAGTTTTCCAGTTGACTGTTCATATTTCTGGAGAATTAAATTCACCTAAATTTCTTCGGTCTGGATTGTTTTACTTTGACTAATAGAAATATTTTTCCTATCGTGGCAAGTTCGTTTAATCAGATGCCGGTGCCAGTTTAATGAAATTCTATTCAGGTACTAGCATTTTTATTTATGCCGACATTCCTCATTGCAGTGCCCCTCCTGGGTATTTGCATCATTTTGAACGTCGGTTACGCAATGACAAGGAAGTTATTGGTTAATTTTTTTTAATAATGGAGCTCCAAAGTGGGTGACTGAGATTTTAATATTCGAACAGATATTGAAGCAGTCTAATCTTGAATCCAACATTCATCATGTATCGAATTTTTTTGCTGTGAGCTCACTAAAACTGAACCGAAATATCGAAATTTCTTCAAGAATACCATTGCTATCTCGGTCTTCTAAAACGGAACATTTAATGTTTAGAAAAAGTTCGTAACATTTTATTTATCGCTCTGCAATAGGATAGCCATCGACAATCATGAAGATGACTATGGATTCACCATCTAATCGGATTTCAAAGCTACCAAACAGAGATCAAGTGCCAATACTCTACCTTTCTTGACACTGCCGAACAAAAGGGGAGTCCACCTCTTTTTCAACAACACATATCGCCCTGAGCTGTCGACGACAGGGCTTACAATAGAAAAAAAATTAGAACACTCGAACCACATACACACCCAAGCAGACAGGTCAGAACTGTTGATGGTATCCACAAACAGCTTTTCCACATTCTTCATCATGTAGTTGAATCCAGGGTATAGTGAGCAAGCACTGATCTGACTTCACCATGTTTTCGCCAACTTCACCAACAGATTCTGAACTTCATCTCAATTCCGTGCCATCAACTGTCTTGTCGCCACCACGTAGGTCATTTTGCTGTAAGGTGATATTCACAATCTGGTGTCAGTGACTTGTTCCTACAACTTGGTTCATTAGACTAAGCTTCTTCAAAGCCTTGATAACTTAGGTGATTGACATTAATTAATAACGCAAATCCATTGTATTGATAGCGAGTCGTTCCAAGCATCATATTATGCTCTGTTACAACTTGAACTTTGAGTCACCACTTATTCGTACCTCACATAGTAACGTTCTGTTATCTCTATAGTTAAAAATTCACAAGATGTGTAGTCCTTTACTTTGATAACATATGTGGCTTCTTTATCATCCATTTTGCCAAATAGTCTCTAGTACATTGAAGTTCATATAAGTTGATGCACATTATTATGTGAAGCTGCATACCGCACCACACAACAACTAACTGCACCTATCTAGCCTCGGAAATCAATTTGACTTCGTGATTGTCTCTTCATGATTACTTCAGTCTTTTCCCCAGATATAACTCAACATGCATGAGAAGTCTGGGGTATAAGCCTCTCTCACAACTTTCTCAAATTGCTTATTTAAGAACGACGTGCAAATTATTCGCTACACGTGTCAAGGCTATCTTGAGGACCAGAAGAATCATCAAGAACTTGAGTAAACAGCTTGAGACCATTGATCATCCAGAAAGTGCAAAGTAGAATTCCAATTAAAGTAGAATCTAACAAGGCCTAACGATTATTTTCACTGCTCCCACGATAACCAGTAATAAAATCTTCCACTAATCTCTTTTTGGTTCAATTTGATTTTCGGGCATTCAGTATGTTAAGATCTGAAAAGGGTTAGTGTTATGACGCCTACCCGGATCTTCAAACTGTTAGCCCGATGAGAACTACAACCACTTCAACCAATTTAAATTTCTGGGCTGGTACTTCGAACCTTGCATCACTAAAAATGATAGTAGCAGACAGAGAAGTAAACTTCCTAGTTGTATTATCAGAAAATTTGATCTTCACTAAGTAAACGGAGTAACAGTTTCGTGTCTTTGTACGTGTGTGTTTGTTTGTAGAAACCCGTTCATTCATGCATTTATTTATATATCCTGTTTATTTGGTTTTTAGATAAGATTATTATCATTTATTCTAACTGGAAATTCGGTTTCCATGGAGTATCACCCTATCTATGCGGTTTTCATGGCATGCGTTCGTTTTGCTCCAATTAACCTAGAGATTTCACGAGTAAAAAAGTTGATGTATAAGGTTCTAAAACCAAACAGACTCACTGCCTACGAATATGTGCACCAGATCAGAGCGAGCTCACCACTTAAGATGCTACGTGTATACGAAGTTTGACAACACCTTAACCAGTAACACCTATAATCGAAACGTGCCAACCCAGTGAAAGCAGAAGTCAGAAGTGGAGAGGTTCGAAAACATATTTGATAGAATATCGATGTATAGAAAAGTGGTCAGTCTAAGCTGGATATTGGTTGTAGGTGAAGTAAGGCACGATTTACTGACTCGTGATCTGATGCGAATGCATGCCTGAGCACTTTCAGCAAGGTGAGGCCATTAAAACTAATACGGTTAGCATCAAATGTCGAAGACTTACAGAGCTATCGATTTCGGTGTTCATTTACAGCTATAAACCTTTTAACGTAGTGACTGAAATAGTCCCTTCTTAGGTTTTAATTGATGCCGTTCGAATTGATAGAATCAGTCAAACGTCTAATGATAGAAGAATATTCCCAAATTATTTAAAGTGTTGTTGTTATAACCAGTATTTAACTCGCATTATTTCAAGGTTCATTGACTTGATGTAATTTTAGATTTGATCGTACAATTTTTGTTGAACTTAACTTTGGACTGTACATTCTGGTGGTGCTATTCGCTCAGGTATTCTTGTGTAATCATTGTAAATGGACTTGCTATTGGTAACACATTCAACACAAACAGTAGGTCTTGAATTATTTGGCGTTGAGAGGTGAGTATCTACCGTTTTACCAGAATCTGTTCTACTGGAGGAACTGAAATCATTTGACTGATAACTAACTGTTACATTGGATATTATTAGTTTCACTGTTTCTGATACGTTGTTTAAGTCAACTTTTGTACTTATTTGTTCATAACGTTGATCTCGGACGTTTTATTTTCACACCTTCTGGCTCCCTATTTTAAAAGCCTTGCTCCAGAAACTTACAAATTAAGGATTTTTAGTGCAATTGCGATAATACTTAATAGGACAACATATTCGATTTGCTTACCTGTAATTTACGAACAAACTTTGGTACCTGAACTTTTTGTTATTTGGGTCGTATTCTACTAGCGTGTCAATCGGCCGTGTCACAATAATAGACGAGGGCAGTTTTAAGACGTCACAGTCATGCAGAATCCAATCTACATCATTTTTTAACGGAACAGTTAGGTTGTTTTGTTGTTAGTGTTTGGCTAACACTGATATCGCTGATAATCTCTAAAGTTATGGTGTATTAGATTCTTCCGGCTGGGTAGTTGTAACCTCATAGCAGTTAATCATGCCCGTCGTGCTGAAGAATGCTGTAGGAAAAAGTACAAAGTAAAAGAAATAGCAATGATAAACTATCTTAGTTGG